CTTTACAAATTGATCTAATGGGTTATTTTTATTAACAGAATATTTGAAAAATAACTCCTAGAAAACATTTTTTTTTTTCTATTATTATTATTTTTTGTTTTTTATGGGAAAAAAATAAAAGAAATTTAGTGAGGGAGTGGTGAGGAGAGGTGGCATGTTCACGTGGGAGAAAACATTTCACTCCCCAGAGTTTAGGGCTTAAATTTAAAAAGCTGGTCCAGTCAACGATCTCATCTCGATCCGAGATTTTGTTCCATCAACTTGGGTTAACCCATCACGTGAACACTTGATGTCCTTCACCATTCCATGTCGGTTCCCACGCCCCACTATAATTTTCACCTTCCTCTAATATTACCAACAATGTTTCGTACAGTTGCATTGCAATCTCACAGATATTCATATTTTTTCCAAAATAAATGTTGATTCTTTGTGAGAAAATTTGAAAAACGTTAGGTTAAATTTTAATATTTTCATTGGTTTTGAATTAAATTGTGTATCTACCACGAACTTTACAGGGGAACCCACATATTCCTCATTGTACACATTTAAGGAGATCATTGTATTTTGCTACTCTGTCCATCCTATAAATTATCACCATGTGATTTTTATGACCATATTCACGTCATAATTTTACTAATAAAGCATGTAACCATTTATTTTCTTATAAATATATGCTCAATATTTTATTATAATAACAATATTTCAATGATTACGTTTTATATTACATAATTTACGCGTCATTAACAAATTTGTCCTATATTTTTATGAAGGACAAATTAGGGATTTATTCATTACTATATTAAATTAGTGAACAGATGAAATTAGGGCTGTGTAAAATCGGGTACCCGAATCGGTTTTATCCGAAAAAACCGGGTACCCCTAAAAGGGTACCTACAAGCCAAACCGCTTTTTGGGGTACCTAAATTTGCAAAATTTTAATTTTTTACATTTCAAATTTCAATTTGTGATTACAATTCCTTCCATACATTAAATCAACTTTTAATTTAATAACTTAAATACTTAAGATTTTGGGCTTTTGCCTCTTGCTCTTTGAAAGTTAAAAGGAAAATAAGTTTAAAAACTAGGTTTTTTATTTCTTAATAAATCGGGTAGCCAATTCTCTTAAAATAAATACCTGATAACCAAATTGAAAATTTGGGTATCACATTATAAATATCTGAAACTTCGAGATCAGATCAGTTTGGTTAACGTGTTTAGTTTGTTTAACGGTTTTTTTTGCACGTCCCTAGACGGGATATACAAAACTCCTCTCTACTCCAGCTAACAGCTGTTTGCCATAATGGTTTGTCCATAATATATGAAAAAATCTAAAATTATAAAGATATGGTCTGTACGAGAATTGTTTTGATTATATCGTAGAAAAAGTTTTTATGTGATAAAAAATTTCATTATATTCATTAAAAATGTTTTTCAAGTTAAAAAACATACTATTTGAAGAAATATTAGACGAATATATTCTTCAAAAACACTTTTGAAAACAGTACCTTTTATTTAGAGAAAAAATGTATAAGAGATGTCATAAGAGTTAACGGTGGTCAACTATTGATAGGAATTGAAGTTGAAGTAGAACTGGTTTGAGGGGAAAAATTACAGGAACGTAACGTGGTGCATGAATCCCAAAAGGAATGGTAAAGGTGATGCTATAAATTGATTGTCGGTACTAAAAATATTAATAGCAATTTGCAGAGAGTAGGCCGCCATGATTGATCCAACTTGGCCGTACTAACACCATTATTTACAAGTCAGATCAGATCAGATCCACATCTCATCAACCATCTATCATTATTTCCTACCAAAACGGGAAACCATTTCCATGGAAACTGTTACATTCCATCATCAATGTTAAACAACAGTAATTTAGTTAAGGATGAAATTTGCTTAACATCAAAATATCATTATTCTATCTTAGTTATGAAGTCATTCACCTTCAAATATCAATCATTATATTTCTTTAATTTAATGTAATATATTTTGTTATTGAATAATAGTCAGATGACTATAAAATTAGTTGAAGAGGCAGATGTCTTGTGGCCGAGAATTGAAATTAACCCTTCCAATGAAGGTTGTAGTTTGTAACCGTTCAGTAGTAGAAAAAGCAAAACAATAATTTATAAGCAAATCATTTTTAATATATATATATATATATATATAAGCATTAAGAATCTAAAAAGGCATTACCAAATTACAAAGATAGCAACGTCATGCCAATCCACTTTCAGGTAGACCCCAACCAAATGCCAACTTGCTATCCAACTTGTAATAATAATTATTTAATGCCAAATAATTCATTTAAATCAAATCAACCCCACCTTTTTTGCTTCTTCCACGCTTACCTTCGCAACAAAATTAAAAATATATATATATATATATATATAGTAGAATAGGAAGGGACGAGGCATGGCATGCGCTACTGAGTTTCACCAAGTCCTTTTTCTATTATTAGTACTTGTATGTGTTTATTTGTCAATTTTCTTAGGCCTCATGAAAGCTAACCTAACATTTCTTTGGATCTCTCATATGATAAAGGAAATAATTAATTATATTCAAATTTTATGGATAAGATTTTTCACTTGTACTGTGGATGAATGAATTGACTTCCATCATATTTCAATCATTATTATTTTCCTTTAAAAGATCTATTTAATTAATTACTTTCAGTAGTAAACATGTCCAATTTTATATGTATTAATTGATGCAAAATTAGAGAGATTAATTTATCATCTTAGCAGAGGTATGTTGTAAAGTAAAGCACCGTCGCCACCTTGAGGGAACATGAAAATATATTAAGAAATAAACAAGTCATGAGTCGTGACTTAGGCCAATAATGTGGTGGGCAAGTTGCATAAAAGTTTGCCCACACGAAAACATTGGTAGGGGACAAACCCAAAAGGCTTACGTGTATAGGACTCAGCAAGCTTTTGCTATCGTATTTTTCAACGATAAAATTAAGTGGCATTAAGTGGTGTTTTGCAATTTGATGGTGAATTTATTTTATTTAAATAATTGAATACGCCTGCATCTGCACCAAGAAGCTTGGAATTTGTCGTGGTTACCTAAATTCAATGTGAATGAAAGTGAGCGGTGGTGAAATCCGCGTCACACCTTCTCATCCTTTGTCTTGTCTTGTTTTAGCCATTCTAATGCTGGCCACCAATTTTTCTTTTTATTAATTCTTTTCTCTCCACGTTTCTTGTTTTTACTGGTTCTGGGTTTTCCCTTTCCTGAATCCAAGGTTTATAAGAACCATTTTTTTTTTCTCTCGATTTATTTATTATCGTATCAACCATGATAGATTTGATGGTGCTTTTATTTGCGTAGAAAGGTATTTATAATGCTCCACATACAAAATTTTGTTTTATTATAATTAATTTTGTGGAAGTGAATTTTTTTTTTTTTAAATCTAGTCAATTAGAATCATATAATATATTAATAGTTCATACGTTTAAGAGGTTTTGAATTTAAGTTTTTTTTTATTGTTAATAGAGATAGTCATTAAAATTTTTATCCGATCAATAATTTTAAGATCTTTAAAAATTAATTAAAATATGTATAAATTAATTTGAACATCTCTAATCGTAAGAAAAAAAAATTTATAATTGTAAGTTGGTATAAGAAAACAGGGAGCGAAGAATGGAGGATAAAGTGAAGTGGTGAAGAAATTAGAAAGGAAGAACAAGTGGGAGGAAAAGTGAGGTCAGTGGTGGGGAAGGGAAACTAAAATTGAAATGGGCAAGAAGGTTAGGTGGGATCCACTTGCAAATGCGGCGAGACGCAGCATTGCAGAACACAAAGAAAAGAAACCCATTCCAATTTGATTTAGGTCATCCAAAATCACTCATATTAATTTATTTAATCTGGAAGAGTAATGGATGTACAGTGATGTGGCTCCCACCACTTCCCAAGATAAGAGGAGAAAGAAAAAAAGAGAGAAATGTCCAATTAAAGCCCTCTAAACAAGGAAGAAAGAAAGAAAGACAGGACAGCCTAAACCAGAGAGTAGCTGACATGGACCGTACTCCCGGGTTTCCATTGGTTGAAAGAGACTCTCTCTCTCTCTCTCTCTTTTGATACCTTCTCTATCTCATTACGCCTCTTTGCTTTCTCCAAAAGCCGCCTCTCTCTTACTTTCCAATCTACACGCCGAAAGGTCCCCAAGTTTACATATAAATTTATGGTAACAAGAAGTAGTGACCCAACTGTTTCGTCAAAATGTTTTATTATTTATTTATTTATTTTTATCAACTGTTTGTCAACTTTTAAATAATATATTATTTATGTTGTGCCTGTGGATAACCATGGAGAAAAGAGTTAGATCACTTTTGCATGTTTATGTTTGTTTCTTGTTCGGAAGCATAACTCTCACGCACCCACTTCGGAATGTGTTCATTACGACCCAATTACCTACAATACATTGCTCAACAATCCAATGAGTTTGATGCTTAACCTCCTGCCCACGTAAATATTTGTTGGAGAATTTTTATTAGCTAGCGCCAGGAATATGAGTATAACTTTGAGCAGGGTCAAACTTTTAACCAGCCCTCTGCCCTCCGGGTCCGGCCCTGCAGCCTGCCTAGATTCATGACCACCTATGACTTGACACTCCCTTGGGAACATAATTTTAGATTTTTGATTGCTTCTATCACCGGCTTGAGCTTCAGATGCTGGTCAAACTTCTTCTACATTAACGACGACTTTTTACTTTTAGAATCATAATAAATATAAATCATCCATCATATATTTATACGGCTGAGAGGGGAGCTTTCTGATTCAGCTCAAGGCATGTAGTTATGTGATATTTAAGTTTGACAAGATTATTCAGTCGTCAATCCTGTCCCATTGGGTTCATGAATTTAAATAAATAGTTAGAAGAATAAGTTTTAACGGCTGAGAAAATTATGTTGGTGTATCCAAAACGATTTTACAAGTGGATGCTTCAGATTTTTGACATATAGCTTTTTACAATTATACACGGCACGTGATTCCCAGCAATAATTTCATTTTATTCATGTCATACACATAGTAACATTACTTAAACACAGATTAAAGAGAAAAGAAAAAGGGAAAATTGAGAGCCATTACCGACTAATTCATCTCTCTTCATTTTTGAAGAGAATCCTTAACCGGTAATTTACAAAAACTCGCCGGAATACGATATATTCCGGGAAAATTCTCCCAAAAAGTAACCAAAAATTAAGAATATTACATTCTCGTGGTGAACATTAATTCACAGAGCTAACAAAACAAAACGTTCTTCAAACAAACAAGTTTAGTAACTTCCTGTCATCTCCTCCTCCAGTAAGATACCGATAATCCCCTAATCCACTTTCACCAAAACACGTGGTGGTACCTGACTCCTCTGAATTCATCGACGGAGTTCCTGGCCGTCGTCTGATTAATTCCGGCTTATTACACGGCAAAACTACTTGGTTTGTTAAACTTGGTGTTAAGCAAAGATCCAGATCTGATCTTTCAAGTTTTGTGGCGGCTGATTCCTCTGATCTCTTACGTTTCGGTGATACTTTGGATCTCGAACTAGAAAACCTAGAATGAGAATTAGGTATTGGATCCTTTAACTTCCACATGTCTGTACAAGTCACTTCAGCTTCGGACACCTCGTCGGTCGCCGGGGTTAGGGATCCACCGTTCAGGAGCTCCGGCATAGGTCGTAACGTGCGTCCGTGTAGGACAGCCTCCACCGCAGCCTGACACACATGCCAGTTTCCTGTCCACAAAAGGCCCACGGCTCCATTCACGGGATTCACAGTTCTTCCACACGCTTCAAACAACAAAGATTGAAACAAAGCTGCAATCCAGAGAGAAATCATAAGCAACCAAACTAAGAAAACTAAGTTTAAATAGAATGTTTGAATTGAGTAAACAAGGTGAATATATTAAGTACCAGGACGTTGAGATTCAGGAACGGCTGAGATGAAGGACATGAGACCGGCACGGCCAAAGAACTTAGCTACAAAAACCGTAGCGTGGCCTTGTGCTTCAGGGCTCTCGATCCACTGTAAACACGGACGCAAAATACATGACTCGCTGCAACCCTTTCGTAAAACTCGGCACCCGTTGCAACTCATATCTCAACTCACTTGAAATTCAAATTTCTTTTTTCTTTTCTGGTTAATTATTACTGAAAAGAATCACATAAACGCAGCAAAGATTGTTTCGATAGATTCGAAGATGGGAGAAAGAGAAAGAGAAAAAAATGAAGGTTACATGGTAAATGAGAGAGTGATATATATAAATAAACAGAATGAATAGAGAGTGTGTGTGGGTAGTTTACTTGTTGATGGGGTTAAGGGTTGAGAATTAACTAGGGTTAGGTTAATTGAATTAGAGGAGTAGTTGAAAGAATTGGAGTGTTTTGGTTTTGGGTTAGATTCCAAAGTCTTAGGCATGAGCGGCTCCGTGTTTCCGCGGATGGTCGTTCCTCCACCGTTGGATTCTTTTTTTTTTTTTTTTTCAAATTTTTATATAATTTTTGTGGTATTTGCTGCAGATGTGGATATTGATGATGGGGGCTTCCATTATAATGATTTTCTAAATTTTTTTTTTTTTTCAAAGTTGCTATTCTCCAAGTAGTCTGACGTCATCAGCAAAAAAATCTTTACTGACAAAGGTATATCATCATAGGATGCCAATGGTAATGCTATCAGTTCAGAGAATCATTTATTATTATTATTTAATTAATGGTACTCAATTTTGATGGTTCTTGAAGATTCAATAATTCATCAGCCAGACACTTAACCTATTTCCGATAATATTTGAAATATTTTAATTAAGAAATTATTATGGTATTTTTTGAAATAAATTTTAAAAATTAAATAGAAAAAGAAGTGGGTATTATCAGTATGGGATGCACATGTATGCAAAATATTCGCATAGTTGTTGGGGTTTATTATAATGGTAGTGGAGCAAAATATTGTATTTGTAGTGAGTAATCATTAAGGGCTTGGTGCGAGATCAGGAAACACAAATGTGGTTATGGGTGAAGGATATAAATTAAAAAATTAATCACTCTATTAAATTATAATTCATGCTTTAAACTAGAATCATTAGCCATGGATTTCTTTTTGCAGTGTGGAAATTGGAGTATATTTGATTCTTTTCTTGGTGCATTTTGGTATACATGAACCCCGGCAACTATGCCAGTGCAAATGGTGTTTGATAATTGCTTCAATTTGCAATAGTAAATTACGATATTAAACATTACTCAAAAATCTCCCTTGGTTTTCTCATCTAAATTATCATATTCTAATATCTTTTATTTATTTTCCAACTTCGTTTAAGACAGTTCATGTTTTGATTATAAAATATTGTGGGATTTAAAGAAAAGTGTTTCACATAAATTAATTTTCTTCTGCTCACTTGTTTACTAAGTGCTTCTCTGAGAAGCAACCCATCTACTTTTTATATCTCACAATAAATAAAACACATATATATAGAATGATCTTGCCAAATGAACTTTCAAATTGGTCTTGCTCCTGTTTATGGTCCATTTTTTTACGGTATCTTCATTTGCTTGTTTTGTCTTTTGGGGGGTTTGAACTTTTTATTTGTTTTAATGGAATATTTACGGAATCTCTATAAATAAGATTATTCCAATAATTACATATTTGATTCAACTTATGCACAAATATGCAAACATACATTTTTATTTTAAAAAGTGTTATACTGATCGAAAAGTTGGATGTATTTTATATATATATATTATTCAATCAAAATATAGAAGAATAAATTTGCAATGACCAAAGCGTTCCCTAACTCACGGTTAATTAGCGTCCACACTTATAACGTGAGGGAATATATCCTAACGAACTATCATGCTAATGTTTTTGTACGGGAAAACTCTAGTTGATCACAAGTAATTAATGTATATGTAATCACAAAAATAAAATATCATTTCAAATAACTTTGATTCTTAAAGTGTTCTATAATTACAAGTAATGAGTTGACAAGAATATAAATGATAATGAAGCAAAATTCAATAAGGTTAATTAAATGATTATGTCCATCTAAATTCAATAACTTTGTTGTGACTTGCGATATCATGTAACCTTATCTTCAATTATTGTTTTCTCTCCTTTGGATCTAACGACTAATAGTAATAAACCCCATTATTCAATCTTATCCCTTTCTTTTATAATTAAGCTTCGGCAACTACAAAGGTGTTTATTAATATGAGTGAATTAATCCCGTTATTCAATAATTAAATACAAAATATAAAATATAAAAAAAGTAAAAGAATAGAGATGGGGTGAGGTGAGGTGAGGTGGGGACATGAGGGAATAAGCAAGTGGAGTGTGTGAAATATGCGGCGCGTGAAGGTTAGAAAGGCGACAGGTGACAGGTGAAAGGGAAATGAAGGGGGGTGTCGAGTCGTGATATAGGTGGAAGTGGCGTCCTTATCTTTCTGTGACCCTCCCCACTTGCAACTTCTGATTTTATTATCTCACGCTAATCTGTTGCTCTCTCATTCGTTGGTTTGGTTTTTTTGACTTTGCCCAGACCTAATTCACTTCCACAACCATTGGGGGCGTCATTTTCCAGTCAAATTATTCTTTATTTATCATGTAATTTAACTACTGGTTCTGGATCTGCGCTGTTCAAAGGTTATCCATACCCATAATTTGTCTGTTTTACCTTTTTTCATGTGGCTATATTTTAGCGGTTGACTGTTGGGTCTAAACAAGATTAAGATTCGTATTATTCCAACGAGTACGCTTCTTTTTTTTTTTCCGTCAAATAATGTTTTAATGATATTTTTTTATCTATAAATTTTTAAAATAATATTTTATTATTTAAACTTATATTCTATCTTCGATTATGTTATAGTTGTAACTCTACATTATTATTATTTTTTTCTTTAATTATAACTCATCAAAATTTATTAAACCCTATTTCTGTTAACACGATCAATCACCAGTAATCAAATAATTAGAATTTACGTAACCGTCCTTTCTAAGTTAAATTTTAATCATCTTAATCACTCAAATTTAATTTTTTACTATTAAAAGACTTATTAATTTTTTCTCTTTAAAAATTTTAATATTATAGATTAAATTTATATTTTGTTTATAATCAAAATATAAATTTGAATAATAAAATAACATATTTTATAAGTGGAGTATGTGTGAAAGGGGGCGTCATTTTCCAATCAAATTATTCTTTTTTTATCATGTAATTTAACTACTGGGTCTGGGTGGGCTGCTCGAAGGTTATCCATACCCATAATTTGTCTGTTTTACCTTTTTCATGTGGCTATATTTTAGCGGTTGACTGTTAGCTCTACACAAGATTAAGATTCATATTATCCTAATGAGTAAATTACTTTTTTTCCCATATGAATAATGATTTAATTACATTTTTTTACTTATAAAAATTTAAAATACTATTTTATTATCCAAATTTATATTCATTTTCTGATTCTGGCATTACTATGACTCCATATCATCACCATTATCTTCTCCAATCATGATTCATCAAAACTCGTCAAACCTTACTCCCGTCGACTTCATCAATCTCTAGCCATTAAGCAATTAGAGTTTGTATAGCCACCCCTCTCAAGTCAAATTCTGATCAATCCCAATCACCAAATTTCAATCTTCCACCATCAAAAGAATCATCGGTCTCTCATCTTCAAAACCCTCACTTGCTTGAATATAAATTTAGATAATAAAGTAGTATTTTAAAAGTTTGTGAGTGAGAAAGTGTCATTAAATCATTATTTGGATGGGACAAACTCGTTAACTCTTTTTTATGTGGTTATATTTTAGCGTCTAAACAAGATTAAGATTCATATTATTCCGATCAATCAAGTTGAGAATATGTTTATATTGATGTTTTATAGGATTGAAATAAAAAATCAAATACTATATATTATAAATGAAAGCATTTTGATGTTGTGAAAAATGAAACTGTTTCGTCAGCCACAATTTAATATTTCTGAATAGCTTGAATGGGTTTGTGCTCAAGAGTCTCTAAACAATTCCAGCGGATTATCGACATACCTAACACACCTTTACATAAGTCAATTAACAAAATCCAATTCCATTTATATTTATATTTTTATTATTAGGTAAAGTACATATACCTAACCTAAGTTAGGTCATATAGTAGGTTCCTTTATCTGATAGGAAACAATAAAAAACTTTTAATTCATATTAATAGAATACCCACAGAGTGACGATGGTTGCAATTAAGCTTAAGCTTATCAAGTACATAAATTGTCAATTTTTGAAAGATTTATAATGCTATTTTAGAATAAGATTAATTCTAACCCTAAAAAATCAAAGAGTAGAATGAATTGGTTTAATTTAGAATATTTACAAATATAATAAAATTATACTTATAACTTTTTTATANCTGTGACCCTCCCCACTTGCAACTTCTGATTTTATTATCTCACGCTATTCTGTTGCTCTCTCATTCGTTGGTTTGGTTTTTTTGACTTTGCCCAGACCTAATTCACTTCCACAACCATTGGGGGCGTCATTTTCCAGTCAAATTATTCTTTGTTTATCATGTAATTTAACTACTGGTTCTGGATCTGCCCTGTTCAAAGGTTATCCATACCCATAATTTGTCTGTTTTACTTTTTTCATGTGGCTATATTTTAGCGGTTGACTGTTGGGTCTAAACAAGAGTAAATTACTTTTTTCCGCCCGAATAATGATTTAATGGTATTTTTTCAACTATAAATTTTTAAAATAATATTTTATTATTTAAATTTATATTTATTTTTTGATCATGATATAATTGTAACTCTACATCATTATCATTTTTTTCTCTAATCAAGACTTACTAAAATCTGTTAAACTCTATTTGTATCGGCACAGTCAATCGTTAGTAATTAAACAATTAGAATTTTCATGGGTACCCCTTCTAAATCAAATTTCAATCAATTTCAACCACTAAAATCTAATCTTAATCACTAAAATTTAATTTTTACTACTAAAAGATTTATTAGTCTCCTCTCTTTAAAAACTCTAATAACATAGATTTGAGTTTATTCCCTATTCGTTATAAATATAAATTTAAATAATAAAATAACATTTTAAAAGTGGAGTGTGTGTAAAAAGGGGCGTCATTTTCCAATCAAATTATTCTTTTTTTTATCATGTCATTTAACTACTGGGTCTGGGTGGGCTGTTCGAAGGTTATCCATACCCATAATTTGTCTGTTTTACCTTTTTCATGTGGCTATATTTTAGCGGATGACTGTTAGCTCTACACAAGATTAAGATTCATATTATCCTAATGAGTAAATCACTTTTTCCCATATAAATAACGATTTTATGACATTTTTTTACTCAAAGATATAGAAAATATTATTTTATTATTTAAATTTATATTTTTTTTATGATTTTGGTATTATTGTGACTCTACACCATTACCATTATCTTCTCCAATCATAACTTATAAAAACTCATCAAACTCTACTCCTGTCGACTTCATTAATATTCAGTAATCAAGCAATTAGGGTTTGCATAGCCACCCTTGCTAAATCAAATTTTGATAAATCTCAACCACTAAATTCTAATCTTTCACCACTAAAAGACTCATCGGTCTCCCTTTTTCAAAAGCCTTAATAGCTGTAATATAAATTTAGATAATAAAGTAGTATTTTAAAAGTCTGTGGGTGAGAAAAAGTCGTTAACTCTTTTTCATGTGGTTATATTTTTCATATTGTTCCAATCAATCAAGTTGAGAATATGTTTATACAGATGTTTTCTAGGATTGAAATCAAAAATCAAATACTACATATTATAAATGAAAGCATTTTGATGTTGTGAAAAATGAAACTGTTTCGTCAGCCACAATTTAATATTTCTGAATAACTTGAATGGGTTTGTGCTCAACAGTCTCTTAACAATTCCAGTGGATTATCGACATACCTAACACACCTTTACATAAGTCAATTAACAAAATCCAGTTCCATTTATATTTATATTTTTAATATTAGGTAAAGTACATATACCTAACCTAAGTTAGGTCATATAGTAGGTTTCTTTATATGATAGGAAACAATAAAAAACTTTTAATTCATATTAATAGAATACCCACAGAGTGACGATGGTTGCAATTAAGCTTAAGCTTATCAAGTACATAAATTGTCAATTTTTGAAAGATTTATAATGCTATTTTAGAATAAGATTAATTCTAACCCTAAAAAATCAAAGAGTAGAATGAAATGGTTTAATTTAGAATATTTACAAATATAATAAAATTATACTTATAACTTTTTTATACAAATAATAGTTTGCGATTGATTAGTTTGTATTTAGATAAATAAGACTTGCTGTGAACAGATCAATCATAAACTATCACATTAGAATTATATAAAAAGACTGTATAAAAAAATTTTAAATGTAGTGTTTGCTCTTGGTCATGAGACAATTAATGGTTGAAAGAAAGGATTTGATTCTACAAGAGTGGTACAAACTCCTATCAGCAAATTGCTGGGACCATCCAACCAATAAAGCAAAGGGGAGAACAACTTTTCTCTATAGAACAAACAAAAGCATCATGAATTTTTTAACCAATATCTTTAAGATTCCGATTTGTGGGGTCATTTTTTACAGCCCATTTCGATTATCACCATCAAATCAAAGCCCACGACAATGCCCAAGTCCAGTTGTTTCTGTCATCTTTAAAGCTTATACTCGCACGCTATTATTACCCTAGTTAGTTAATATCGCGTTTTATACGGAATTATCGGCTAGCCGTATAATTCCTATAAAACGGAATTCACGTATGTTATGAGGGCTGCCGTATAATTCGCGAATTATATACCCTATCCGTATAATTCGCGAATTATACCCGAATTATTGCGAATTTTTGCCGAATTTTTGCAGACAAAAAATAATTACATGATAGGGAAACGACGTCGTTTTGGTGGGGTTTGACTAAAATTAAAAAAATCTCCTTCCTCTCTTCTCGGTTCTCTCTTCCACAATCTTCATCTCTCTTCAAATCTTCAACAATTCAACTCTTTTTTTCATCTCTTGACTCTGAGTCTTGATCTCTTCTTCTCTTCTCTTTTAAATTTTAACTCTCTTCTCCAAGCTTTAAGTCCAAGACTTCAACTCTTCAAGCCTCAAGCTACACACTTCTCTCTTCTCTTTTAACTCTCTTTGAATCTTGTATGTTGGTGATTTGTTTTGTTTTGTGTTGGTGTGTGAGTAGTAGTAATAGGGGCTGGTGGATTGATGGATTTGTATGTTGGTGGGATTGATAGATTTGTTTGAAACATGTTTGATGAATGTTTGTGAGAGTATATTTGGTATCTGTTTTAACATAATATTTCTTTAGTTCTGTTGTTTGTGGTTGTATGGGTCAAAATGAAAAGACTAAAGATCATCTATAAAAGCAAAGGTAAAGGCAAACAACAAAAGAAAAGCATGAATCATAAAAAAATATTGTCGGGCTTGGATTTGGAATTGGCAGATACTTAAGAAGAAGAAAAAAGCAACAAACCATCAGTTTACAACCAACGCCAACTGCAAATTGTAAACCCATGTGCACTTGTCATGTTTTTAGATTTCATAACACTATTATTATTTGACCTTTGAATGTACTGTCAATTAAACTCAGAAATAAAACAAACATACTAATTGGAATCCAAACTTTGTATGCGTAGCTATAAAATTAAGGATAAAAATACTAGTCTTAGTTATTGTTCAAATATACTTTAAATTAAAAGGAAAATAAATTGTAGGGTCGACCACAATGGATTATTTAAATGGGGATGTTTTGAAAAGTGCTAAAACCAAGATGCATTGCCGTATTTTTCAAACTATATTGACAATGTGTCGTATTAAACGTATATATCCGAATCGTATTTTTTCCGTATCCGAATTTTATGACCGAATTTTTACAAACGTATTTTTCACCATTTGCGTTATACCCGTAAAATTCCCGTACCGTTTTTTTGCCGTACCCGTATTTACTAACTAGGCTTATTACCACGTTTCAAATCTACTAATATATATGTAATCAGTAATATTTACACTTATAATCCAATCTCATAATTTTTTTTTATACTTAATATGATAGTTCGTAATTAATCAAATTATAAGGATCTATCTAGCCAAATAGACCTGTACCAAAATACAAATTGATCAACTATGAGCTATCATATAGAAATTATGGACCAATCTTTATTATATAGAAGTTATGGACCAATCTTTATTGTATACCCCGTTAATACAAGTTGATGTTCTAGAGTATTCTTTTATCCTTATCAAAAGAATAGAGTCCACCATTACTTTTTGATGTACGATGTTGAACTAAATGAGATGCCACTTGATGATAAGATAAAAGTTGAATGATTCAAGTACATTACATGCATCATTCCTTAACAAGTGGTTGCCTTTTGCTATCAACTTTACAGTTTACAATAAGCTTTTAAGGAAAGTAAAATAAAGGAGTGGTTTAAACACTCAAGAGGTCCATCCATCCCACCAACTCCAAAAATATCATGCCTGTCACGCTTCAATCTAATTGGGAATCTGCTTATTTTTAGCATGCTTAATTTTTATTTTTCCTTTACCAAAGTAGGAAATTTGAGTCTGACATAGTCATGACTGAGTATGGTGGTGGTGCTGCAAGGCTGGTTCTGCCTATAGACTTGAAGAAGAAAGCATGGGAACAGAAACATGTCCTCCACAACCGGTGGCACCCAGATATACCTCCGGTTGCGGAGGTTAGAGCTAGGGAGGTTTTTAGAGTTGAGATGATGGATTACAGTGGCGGTGGCATCACGCGCGATTACTCTGCAGATGACATCAAACATGCTGATCAATCCATTGTGAGTTTTACTAATTTCTCATCACCTTCTAATGCATATGTATTTGCAGGAGTTTGATTAACTGTTAGATTATAAAGAATTCATGCTGTCTCTATATAAGTATCAAACAACATGGATGTTGCATTTTTCTTATTCATAATTATTGATTAGTAGTGCAGTTTAAACAAATTGTGAACTTCTATCACTTAAACTAGCAAAATTGGATGCTAAATATAAAATTCTCTGCTTTTTCCCATATCTTCAAAACCAAAAAACAAAAGGAGTGATTCAGAGTTGTTCCACATAGTTGGGTTGAGAGGGAGGCTTTGCTTCTTAATACAATCATGTTTGTTTTATACGGTGAAAGGTAATTGCCTAGTTGGGGACCAATAGAAAATTTGTCACTCCCATTTGTCAACTAATGTAATACTACAATAGATCCCACCAGTTATAAGCTCAATTAGTGAACTACAAAAACCCCAAACTCTCAGCCTCCTCACTGATTCATCTAAGCCATGGCTCCCTCAACTCCAAGATTGGTCGTGCCAATAGATTTGAAGAAGAAGCCGTGGGAACAAAAGGCACCTCTTCATAATCGTTGGCACCCAGAAGTATCTCCAGTTGCAGAGGTTAAAGTTGGTGAGATGTTTAGAGTAGAGATGGTAGACTGGACTGGAGGTGTAATCCAGGATGATGATTCTGCACTTGATGTTAAAACCATTGACCTCTCTACGGTAAGTAAACCTGCTTTTCTAACTCTATGTTTATGATATTTAAATGAGTACGAATGAGTCAGATGGCCGGCTTCAGGGTTTAGTATATAAAAATGAATCATATCTTTGTCCTATACTGAAACGTAGAGTAGGAGACCATTAAAATTGTCTCTACCATCTGTCAGCTACTGTAAAAGTCCATTTCATACTTGCGCAACACATACATTAGTAAACTTAATTAGTGAACCATTGAAACCCTGAACTCTCCACCTCTTTGATGCATCATTGCAATGGCTCCTCCAACTCCAAGATTGGTTGTGCCAGTAGCCTTGAAGAAAAAGCCATGGGAACAAAAGTTACCTTTTCATAATCGTTGGCACCCTGATATACCTCCAGTTGCAGCGGTTAAAGTTGGTGAAATGTTTAGAGTAGAGATGGTAGACGCGACTGGAGGTGTCATCAAAGATTATGATTCCGCAATTGATGTTAAAACCATTGATGCCTCCACAGTGAGTATATGATTATCATTACTTGATGTTAATTTAAACCATTGATCCCTCCGTTGTAAGTGTCAATACTATTCTTCTTACTAGAGCAACTTTTCTTAACTGTAGTTTATGTGTATTCAATTGATTTAAAAAAAAAAAAAAAACTCAAAATAAGCTCTTAAAAATTAGAAACAAAAGCATCTCTTAGGTGTGATGATTAATTTAATTGAAATACACTACGAGCCAACTATATGATATCAATAATTAGATTGATGATATGACAAAGAAGAGATGATTCTTGGTTGACCGTTAATTGACAATCAAATAGATTATGTAAACTTGGTAATATTACTGAACTAGTAACATAATTATTTCTACTAAATTAAACAAACAAATGACCTTATAAAGAGGATTATTGGAGGCATTTAATGTAATTGTTTGGGCAGGTGCATTATCTCAGTGGGCCGATCAAAGTTGTGGACGAGGATGGAATTCCAGCCAAGGCAGGAGATCTTCTTGCAGTAGAAATATGCAACCTGGGTCCTCTTCCAGGAGATGAATGGGGTTACACAGCAACATTTGACAGAGAAAATGGAGGTGGTTTTTTAACTGATCACTTTCCTAGTGCAACCAAAGCTATTTGGTATTTTGAAGGAATTTACGCCTACTCTCCTCACATACCTGGTGAGTGAGTTCTCTACTACTAAACAAGAAATATGTCTAACGAAAGAAGAATAAGAAGTGTGATATATCTCTGCTAACAAAAGATGGTTTACATATACCAGGGGTACGATTCCCAGGTTTAACTCACCCTGGAATTATTGGAACTGCACCATCAATGGAACTCCTGAAGATATGGAACGAAAGGGAAAGAGAACTGGAAGAAAATGGTCTCCAATCACTGAAACTCTGCGAGGTCTTGCATTCACGACCATTGGCAAACCTACCATCGACCAAAGGCTGCCTTCTTGGAAAAGTATGAAAATGTTAATTCTCATACAACAGTGTCAAACTCTGTATGCATTCTATGTTAATTAAAACATGGTAATTTAGCTTCCCATCCACAAAAATGAGTTCATAAATTTCCACTGCAAGAGTCAATAGATATTTGTCATAGAGCTGGCTAAAACTTGGAAAGATTTTGTTAGTATTACTATGTTTTGTGTTCAGTTGCAAGGCACACGACCTGTAACTCCACAATATATGATGGCAGAAATTATGTGTTCTAACATGTGATGGTCATCAATAGATCGAAGAAGGCACACCTGAATGGGAAAAGATTGCTAGGCAGGCAGCAAGGACAATCCCAGGACGAGAAAATGGAGGAAATTGTGATATCAAAAATCTCAGCAGAGGTTCAAAAATATACCTTCCAGTATTTGTAGACGGAGCGAATCTTAGTACGGGTGATATGCACTTCTCTCAGGGTGATGGTGAAGTCTCATTCTGCGGGGCAATTGAGATGAGTGGCTTTCTAGAGCTCAAGTACATTTCCATCCCATATCCTCGCAGTCTTTTTTTTATTGCAGGAACAATACCGCACACAACTTTAAAGCTTTATCAAATCATTAATAGATCATCCATATTATTTTAAAGCAAGGCTTTTCTTTCTAGAACTACAAAAAAAACTTTCACCACCAAGTCTTTGACTATCATATTCCATTCACCATTTGGTTTTTGTTCCAACCATTTCTGATAATTTTTTTTTTTTTAGAATACAGCAGATAATTCCATTTTTCTGATTGATGTTCAGCCTCCTATCCAAGTTACTGACACTCCATTTTTGTTATCAGGTGCGAAATTATAAGGGGTGGAATGAAAGACTATCTTACACCAATGGGGCCAACTCCTCTTCATGTAAATCCAATCTTTGAGATAGGCCCAGTTGAGCCACGATTCTCGGAATGGTTGGTGTTTGAGGGGATCAGTGTTGATGAGAGTGGAAGGCAGCACTACCTTGATGCGAGTGTTGCTTACAAACGTGCAGTTCTCAATGCAATTGATTACCTCTCTAAATTTGGGTACTCCAAAGAACAGGTTTGGATCTCCCCCATTATCACATAAACAATTCTTTCACATACACAAAGGAAGACACATGCAAAATTACTGATTTTGAAGTAAATGAGGATTTTGTCACATTATTGATAAAAAATATGTAATGGTATACGACAGATGTATCTTTTGTTATCATGCTGCCCGTGCGAAGGAAGGATCTCTGGAATAGTCGACGCTCCCAATGCGGTTGCAACCCTTGCAATTCCTACAGCTATATTTGATCAGGTTACTCATTCTCCCTGTTTCTCACAAATTAACAAACAGAACTGATTATATATATATATCCCTACTGCCTTTCAATAAAATTCATAAAGGACACTATGAAATCCCAATCCCAACTATAATCAAGTGGTTCAAGAAACTTGATGGACATTGAAACCTAAGCTCTTATTGCTAAACAGAAATACATAATCTATCAGCGTATGACAAATTCTGATAGCTATTCCACAGTTATTTTTTGCATATGCACACTGTTGTATTGGAAGAATTTTAAACCAATCACAAGATCCAAATCTTGTGCTAAATGTAAACGGTGCATTTGGAAATACAAATACAGATACAAAATGCTTGGACAGTACATTTATGTAAAGGATATTCAACTCAATCAAATTTAAGATATGTAAATGCATGGTCTAAAGTTTGAAGTAATAACTGTGGTTATGCAGGATATTCGTCCAAAATCCAGCAAGGTGCCAGTTGGGCCCCGATTAGTAAGAAAACCAGATGTCCTCAAATGCAGTTATGATGGAAATTTGCCCATCACAAAGAACCCTGGTTCGGGAGCATAACAAGGGCCAAGGGCACCAAGTAAAAGAAACAGACACTTTGGATACATGATGCATAGTAGCATTTATGTCTAGATCCATTTGCGGATGGAGGCACTATATAGTGGCTATATGATCTCTGTTTTCTGGTTTGTAAAGCAAACAACCATACTTATAAATAAAGGAAAAAGGTTGAGTGATAAATATTTCCAACTATACTATTTCAAATTATCAGAACTATTTTCACACTGAAACAATTGTACTGCAGATGATCAGCATCTTGGGTAACTTTTAGACCAAAACAGGGTCTAAATGTTACACACTATGACAATCAAAAGTAGTTCCTAGAATTCTTTGCACCAGCACTGCAAAGAAAATTCCACACTGCGTATTTTCAAAATTTACCTATGAATGGAGAAAAAGGCTTTCTGTCCAACAAATTATATAGTGCCGGTGGCAAAAGATAAAACTATTTTTGTGATATTTGGCATAAGCAACTTTCTAGCCACAACTGTTTTTGCTACCTTGAACTCCAATTACAAATTGTTTTTACTAAACCCATATATCAGGACAGAAGCTGACGAGCCAAGCATACATGCATCAGCAGAATCAGCAATTCCTACTTAATATTATTGCAAACAACAGTGACTCAATCTGAATCTAAGCTGGTCAAACGGTGCAATTGACATCTACAAGAGTCATCATGTGATCTCAGTACTCCCTCTCCTCATATTAAGAGTCTAAAGACAATGATTATAAATAACAAGTTTCATGTGAGGTCTAATGTACATAAAGAACTTTAACCAAATACCTGAGAGGACTGCCAAATTTCTCCTCATCAGGTACAATCAAATTAGCATACAAAACAAGGAAGCACATAAATATATGCCACAGTTCTGCTGATATTGACTTCTACGTATTCACCTGGATGAAATATGGGTGTTGCCCAGACAAAGAAAGCCATTTCTTGGAGGAAGAATTTCATAAAACAACTTAAAATTAACTATTTTATAGATAAAAGTCATTTTGGTTCATACTGATCAATTCTCAATGGTAAAGTTTTTAAAAGGGTTTTACTCCAAAATTTTCAGAATTGTTAAAAAGAAAGGAACTAATGTCAATCTAGTCCTAATAAGCTACCTCAAATTCTCCAAGCTAAAACTTTTGAACTCAAAGGTTAATATATAGCAAAATGACAACCATCTCATATTGTCCAGTCAATAGTAAATTGAAAGAGTTCGATGGTGCTGTAGAGCAGATTGTACACCAACAGACCAGAGCCAAAGGTCTAGCTCCACACTCAGAACCTGAAAAGAAAAAAAAAAAGCACATGATTAAGAATTGAAGGGGAAGCATAGAAATTGAAATCGGTCCATTCAGAGGAATAAGGGAAATGGATGTCTACTTTGATTTTCAAATGCCCCCTTTCCCTCTCCCCAATAGGTAGGAAAGAAAAGGCACTTGCTTTGAGTTACTGAATAAATACGATTGCTATTAGATGGTTGAATTTACAGAACTTAATGACAAGGTACACACTTTGTATGACATGAAGTTACAAGACAGCAAGAAGAAAGTTTGGTTAACAAATTCAGAAAATCCTGCGTATTTCTGACAATAGTAAACTTAATTTTATAGTTTATCTAAAATGAAAAATGAAAAATGACAAAGAAGTCTAGTACAAATCTGCTCTTTAGTCTGAAGTGATCCAACTACAACCTAACTTAACTATCATTAAGCAATGATCCACAACATTTCTTACCAAGATAGCAATGAATTGAAGAGATGATTGAATCATGCACTGCCTTAATAATATGGGAACCAATATTGCAGAGGGACAGCTTAGCTCACTGAGAAATGCATCATTTCCAGACAGAAGTTATAGTTAACTGTATGCAAATGTTTGATCAAAAACAGTTGTAACAAATTCTTCCAAAGGAATGGCGGGTGCTAGATAAGAAGATCAAGAAAGTTCATGCAATACACTGAAATGCACAAAGTTTTATATACTAGAGACAAAATTAATCCCAAAGCCAATTTCACGTGATAACATGTAATATTGAAAGAAAGAAAGACAGAAAATGGAGATTTATGATGAAAACAAAGCCAAAATATTTTAAAAAACCTGATACTCAAGTTATAAACTATTAGCAAATTGGAAAATACTTTCAAAAGAATTTACATTTTAACTAATTATAATAATCACTCCTTTGCAAATAAGTCAAAAACGGCAATTGCTCCATAATAATGAAAGAATAATATACATACACATGAGAAAGTTTAGCTGTACCTGCTTTCCTGATTTTATACCGATTAGTTCCCTCATTTTCTCCACAGCATATACAGAGCAAGCTCGTAATTCAACTTCCTCCTCAGTGCCTGAACCTATTTCACCATTAGTCTCAATTTTGCTGGCAAGGCTTGAACTATATTTCAGCACACCAAGCTGCTGAAGCACTGCCGGAACAACATAGTCCGCAAACATAGTTATTGCACCAATATCATTAAATTCTCCATATCCTTGCCCTTTGAATGCACCCCATATATCTGCAGCAAAAATCTGTGCTCGTTTGTACAAGAATACCTGGTGCCCTTTATACACCGAATGGTCTCGAAAGCCTGTAATATTTTATTGTAACTGGAAAGTTAAACTTCCATACAGACTAGTTGTATTACACATACAAATTTTTCAACATATGCTGCATGATAATAAGAATTTATCACAAAAAGCCTGATACCAGGGAAGTGACGAGTGACAAGAGAAACAAGTTTCACCGCTGATTTTCCAGAGAGTTCCACAAGATTGGATGCTTTACCTCCAAAGTTTCTTTCCAGTTCAAGCCCAACCTAGAAACATGAAATTTAAAGATATCAAATAAATGAAGTGGCCATTAGGCTACGCAATTGCATGCATCAGATCTAGTTATGGATAGATGAAAAGTTAGAACTAAAGAAATATTGAACTAATAATTATGAGGAATGTTAAATAAAGAAATTAATATAGCAATAGCAAAAACTAACTTCAATTATACTAAAGAAATTTTTACCTCGTGCAGTAAGCGAACTCGTTCATCCTCCAAAGGAAGTGGCCTCGGCCATTTCAACAATTCACGTAATTGAGAACCTGAATGAAAAAAGGCCCAAGAAAGGTAAAGAAACGGTAATGTTTGCTTCCTATTATTCACAAATGGCTGTGATGAATACGTAGGTTTATGCAACTAATAAAGACTCAAATAATTTACATCCCTGTCACAGTTTTCCTGAAAGCTAAAACTGCATTTAAACAAAAAAGAAAAAAAAAATTCTAGGCTTCATCAGTTTATGATTGTTTGTTATGTGCATGTGTGTACATGAAAAGAGAACAAATAATCCTCTAAAGCAGCAACACCAATAGCTTACGGTAATGTGAATTATGCACAAAGATGGACAAAGGAGAAACTGCATCTGTTTTTATAATTTGTTCAGATGCTCGGGGCTCTGAGAAACTCATATTAGGAGCTATTCCTTTGCAACTCAATGACTGTTTGTAGTCCAAATGACTTTTTCCTCTTCTCTACTCTGTGCTTACCAATTAGGGAGAAAAAAACTCTAAATACACAAACACATTATTAATGGATGACTATTATAAATGCACATAAAAGGATAGAGAGTTCAGGTAGAGAAGAAGTACCAGTGTATTTTTGCAAACGATCAGCATCAAATGCAGATTTGTCATTCTGCAGAGCTGCCTTTAGCCCCGATGCCAAATGATCATAATTTAAATCCTTATCTTAAAGCATTAAAAATGTCAAATTAAAAAGAAACCAAAATGTTAGTGGAGCAAACAACAAAAATTTAGATGGACAGTCATAAAAATTATATAGGATATATCTGGGGTATTCATTGCATATTTGCTGAATTGCATCACGGTCAGACAAGCAGTCATTTTGTTATTTTGAGATCCCTCTACCAAACCATTATTGCACAACTAAAACGCTTATAATATCCCTTAACCCAATAGTCTCATACCTTTGACAAAATAAAAGATACAAACACAAAAACAAAAAAATAAAATAAAAAGTATCTGCTATCCATTCCAGGAACAATAAGACTGCAATTTAGGCCAAGTGAAACTTTTTAGTTGCAAAAATCTTAGATATATCTAACACTTCAACTCTACAATTGCAACTCTTGACTCAAATAAAACAACCAATGAACTTGTCATTTCTCACAAGAAAATTTATTCAGCCTAAACGTCCTCCATTCGCCTCACTGGAACACATTTAACAGAACTCTACCATAGACTAGCAACAAAATCAACAAAATATAGATATATTTATATAACTCTGATTCACAGATGACCATCCGAACAACAAACTGTCAACAAATTCGGTAATAAAAAATTCAAAGGAAATGCTGCAATACAATTACACAGAGTCTTACCAGGCCAAAAGCAAAAATTCAGAGCATCTAAAACGAACAGGTACTGAACGGTGAGGGGGCCGTTATCAAAGTAGTGAATACCTTCATAATCCCACTCTACCTTAGGAATCGAGTCTTTGATATTCTCTACAACCTTCTCAATCCCTGCATTAAAACGTTATTGAGCAAATTTATACTTCCAAAATTTACATGCATTCATAAAACCAAATAAATAAATAAATAAATAAAAACAGAAGTCAAAGAATGGACCTGTGGAGTCAACCACCACGTGAGAAGAGTGAGTGGCAACCCAAGCAGAGCTCGACCTTACCTCTTCCATGGCAGTTCTTTGACTACAGAGTCTGTGAGTCTCTTATGGTTCTATTTTAACCCTAATTGTTTTATATATAAAAAATGCATAAATCTTTTATTATATAGTACAAATTGATATATAAGGCCGTGAAATGCGTATCCTGATTCGAAGTTTCCCGCTATTGTTTTGTTTCTAGGTTGACCCTGTGGGTGAGGAATGCGCCAGAGCCACGAAATAACCAATGCGTACGCACCGGCTCACGTGTGTAGTTTATTTGTTTAGTCAATTGTCACGGTTTTTTGCCTGATAAAGTTACGTGAAAGGTTAATTGTACCATTAAATTCTTTGAGGCCAAGTAAGCAACCTTTTTTGACAGGATAAGTTGAGAATAGGTCATCATTTATTATTTTGTGTCAGCTCAGATATTTTATATTTTATTTTGGTCGGTCAGGAACCGAATAGTCCTTGTCCCTCCAACTCAGTTAAGGCCCACTAATTGAAACGAAAAATCCATCCCTCATATCCAATTACAGTGAGCCAAATTACCGTGTAACCTGCAGGCTCGTTCTGATTAGACTGTGCACGTGCAGCTATCCTACTTTAAAGTTTTACCATTCGAAGAATCAGGGGTGCACTTAGTTCATATTTTTTAGAATAAAATTAAAAAAAAAAAATTGTATAGTTATTACGATTTAAAATTTAAAAATTAATAAAAATATCTTATATATTTGTTTATTTATTAAACACCACTATAATAAAATATTAAAAATTAATAAAAACACCCCTACTCACCCATTAAATACCGATAGCCGGCCACCACCACCAGAGGTGGCCGGCGTCGCTGTATCGGTGCATGACCAGCTAGATCTGGCCGGTCGTACAACGATATGACATTTTTTGACCAGATCCACGGTGGATCTTGCCGAAAAAAAGTCAGATCTAGTCGCATTTGGTCGTCAACGACCAAAGATCTGGCAGTTAATGGCCAGATCTTTGGCTGTAGATCTTGCCTTTTCCAGCCAGATCTACCGTAGATCTGGCTGAAAAAGGCTAGATCGACGGACTATCGGCCAAATCCAGTTGGTAGTGTACCATTATACCAGATTCTGGCCAGCTTCTGGCGGTGGTGGTCGGAATTTGGCAAATGTGGGTTGCTGGGGTGTTTTTGTCAATTTTTTTAAAAAAAATTTGGGGGTGTTTAGTTAAATTAACAAATCTAGGTGTTTTAAAAAGAATTGAATAATATAGAATAATATTTTGAGAATAAGGAAATAAATGTGTATTGTGGATAGAATAGTAAATAGAGTAGTGAAAAATTGTGCACCAAAAGGGCCCTACAATTTTACCTATTGTGTTTGTCCTAAGTACATTTAACCCAATACAATCTGATACTAACAGTCTAACCCAGAATCTATACAGACGTTGAGAAAATTTAATGTTAGAGAAAGGAATATTCAAGTAAATCACCATACTACCCCTATTATATGCAATTGTGCTAGCCTAAAAGGAACATAGTTGAATATTATAAGAAAAATGTTACGTTTACAACCTAATCTCACAACCTTCTCTTACAACCCTAACGTGTCCCACCATACCCAAGGCACCCAAGGCACTACGAGAATCAAACGGTCATTCCTAAACGGTTGTTCCCTATGAAGGAACAACTATTCCTTCATAAGTAATGGTTGTTCCTTACCTTGTTTCTCTCTCGGCACTCTATCAATTCCCTTCTTCAATTTCATTCTTCTGCTTCTTCTTGTTGTTGTTGGAACAACCTTGTTCTGGAATCTTCAATTTCGTTCTTCTTTTTCTTTTTCAATTTCTTCTTCTACTTGGAACAACCTTGTTCTTGAAAGAACAATGTTGTTCATTGAGGAACAACGTTGCTCTTATGAAAAGAATGGTTGTTCCTTCATAAAGAACGACCATTCCCTATGAAAAAACGACCGTTTCTTCGGTCTAATCAAAATAATGTTGTGCCGTGGGTGTGGTAGAACTGACGTGACAATACCAACTCAGTTGCCACGTTAGGTTGTAAAAGAAGTTTGTAAGAATATGTTGTTGGCGTAGCGTTACTCAAATTTTAATGGTGTACTCATATTATAAGTTTATTAATTGTTAGGCTTATGCCTTGGAGATGTGATGAATTTTCTATAAATTACAATTATAATTAATAACGTTGAATTATTATGTTTTTATAAGGTTTGACATTAACTTAGATAAGTCATTATCCAAAGTTTTAAAAGTTGTTGATATATTAAGAATTATATATATGAGTTAGTCATTTATGAAATATATGCCCCGTTTGTTTAACTTTTCCAATCATATTCTATTCTACTATCCTATCCTAAAAAGTGAAAAACGTGATTGTTTTTGTTGATGATTGATTTTGACACCAATGAACTCGCACGTGCAAAGTGCTAAGAAAGTCCTAGAAATCACACGTGAATGATTATGAGAGTTAAATAAGGTACTGTTCTCACAATAGCATGCAAAGACATAAAGTAAATGAGACAATAAAGGTTTTATAGTGGTTCGGACGCTTAAAGCAAATCCTGCATCCACTATTTTCTTATATAGTAGTGAGTTCCTGGTTATTAGCCAAGATTACAAAAGGTCGCGAACTGCGATCTAGGTTACAGGTGTTTGGTATTCTAAATGTTCTTAGAAAATATCAAGTTAGTCTCTTTCCCGTGATGTCTTTGCTATTTTCTTTGTTGAATTCAGAGTGTCTGATCTCTATTTTGTGAGGGGGAGCTGCCTATTTATACCCGCTTAACTCAAGGTAATAAATACACATCTGCAAGTGGGTAGGTGCCGTGCAAATCTCTCCTGCAAGTGAGTTCCTGGTTATTAACCAAGATAACAAGAGGTTGCAAACTGCGATCTGGGTTACAGGTGCTTGGTGTTCCAAATGTTTTTAGAGAATATCAAGCTAGTCTTTTTTCTGTGGTGTGTCTTTGCTATTTTCTTTGTTGAATTTAGAGTGTCTAATCCCGATTTTGTGAGGGGAAGCTGCCTATTTATACTTGCTGAACTTAAGGTAATGATTACATATCTGCAAGTGGGTAGGTGCTGTGCAAATCTCTTCTGCCTTCCCATTGGTTGAGAACTTAAGAAATATCCTTAAATTAAATGGGGCTTGGACAAGTGTGCGAACCAAATTTATTTATAGACAAAACTTAAGTCAGTTGGGTCGTTAACAACTATATTCTTTCTGTCTTGGGTGACGTGGCAGACTCTAGACGGTGCAAAGCCTTCTTGAACTCTGATTGGTGCTCGCTGACATCAGTTACGCTAGCCCTGATTTTTTAGGCATAATAGATTTAATATTAACTATTCAATTCAAAATCCAATCCTATTCTATTCAACTCAAAACATTTAATAATTGCATTTCTCAATAAAAGTTCATAAATTAACAAAAACACCCCCACCCATCCAAGCAATAGTCGCCTGCCAACAACTACTGTCGGTCTCTAGCTGTCACTGCCAGAATGTTTTCCAATAATGTACCAAATACATTCTCCGAATCCTATCCTATTCAAAAAAGTGTACCAATCAGACCCTATAGTTTTAATTGAAATTTAAAGCTTGTTCACAACCAATTAGTCATAATTTGCACTTATTTAGATAAGATTGTTCTAATATTTACCTTACTAGGATATGAAAAGTTCAAAATTCTGCATACCAACTTCCTATCTTGACTGACGTGGAGTGCAACGTGGTTGGGCTGGAGACTTTCCATGTCGTACTTTACGTAAGTCAGGATGGGGAGTCAGTGTGCAAAATCGGTAAGTGTAGTATTTCCCTTAAAATTATTAAAAGTTGATACTTTAGTATAAAAAAAACACTTATGCATAATAAATCTCGTAATGGTCAATATCTCAACTAGTTGAGATATTGACCATTGCGACATTTATTATGCATAAGAGATTCGCAAGCTACTCAGGCTCGGTTTGTCTCGACAAATTTGAGCCAAGCCGGGCCCAAGCTCGAGCAATTCAAATTTATGACGAGCCGAGTATCGAGCCCACGGATCGGCTCATAAGCTTGCGAGCTCTATAGGCTTGCGAGCTTTCAAGCTCAAGTAAGCTCGCAAGCTTACAAAAGCTAGTGTAAATTAAAAAAACACCTAAATGCCCTAAGTCCCAAATCGGCACACCTCTTTATGATTTTCCTTTTGCTCTCTGCCACCCAGGCTTCCAAATCATGACACGAAGCTCCTCTACACCACGTCGAAGTCCACCAATGTCTGCCAGTCTTTGATAGTTGAGGGAGAAGATTTTATTGTTGAGAATCTCACTTTTGAAAACTCCTCATCTAAGATAATATGTTAGATGTTTTTGGCAAATCGGGGGAAGTTTCATGTTAGATGTACTATGAGGTGCCAGGGTGCCAGCCATAGAGAAAAGGGGAAAGAAAGATAAGAAGAAGAAGAAGCCTTATATTATTGTGATTTGTGAATGTGCAGAAATGATGTTGTTGAATGTGATTTGTGAACAGCTTATGGGTCTCTCTTTTTCTCTTGTTGGTTGGAATGTTAATTGGAGGAAGAAGCCTTGCATTGTTGTAAATGTTATTTTTCATTATATTTAAGTTGTGAACAACTCAGGTTCGAATGGGCTTGGATTTCCAAAGCTCATCGAGCCCAAGCTCGTATTTTTTTTAACGAATCGAGCTCGAGCTCAACCGCATTTGGCTCGGCTTGATTCGTATGCACCCCTAGACTTGAGATTATATGACTTATTGGCATTGAAAATTTTATTTCACAATATGAAATTAACAACTCTTTATGAAGATAAGGATATCACCTTACAAGTTTTCAAGTATCTATATATCTATATAATGCTAAAGCAGACTGCTGCTTTTGATGCCACGTAGGACTGCTGAGAATCGGTATATGATTGCCATGTAGGATTCTAGTAGGATACACATATGATTTCATGTAGGATTTTAGAAAATCTCTATAATTGTTACAAGTGTCTATATGTTATTGGTTTAGTTTGATTCATTGTTTTTGTTTGGTCCACGTGTTTGCTGTTTATTGGGCTTGCTATTTGGTTTGTTCTTCAAATCTTTCACATTCTTCTTCTAATTTGCCATGTAGGATGTCGTTAATTGGTCCCCGTGTTTGCTGTTTATTGAGGTTGACAAAATA